TAATTCTATATTTTTACTATTGACTTCCTTATGATTTTGAAACATACTTCAACGAATTAAATTTAATTATTGGATAATTGAGTTTGCAGTGGAAAACAAACTGATTTATTAAAACAAAAATTTGATAAGCGACACGATGATTTCGATTGACATGTAAATAATTTTGACGGGCTCTTGCAATGAAAGAAGAAGGGGTAGGCAATAATTGTTAAGAGGTCCCCACCGTGCTCAACATCCACGCTTCACCTCTAATTGCTTTGCTGCATACAAGTGTTTAACAACAACATAAAAACATAAATCATTGATTATACACACACGCACGCAGGCACACACACACACACATTTACGAGAAAACTAAATAAAATATAGAATGATGGCATGATTTATAATGATTAATTTCGAAGCGGCACATCACTTCAGCAGTACAGAGAAAGAATAGTGACCTGTAAATAATGACCCAGAAGTTGTAAGTAAAGGCAGCACTGACTACAGATGACCACCAATAGGCCAGTCTTCCAGATGGGTCAAAGATGAATGAACTTCTACAGCCTCTGTCGCCGATTGTCGCGTCGTCGTTGTTTCGAGGTTGATTCCTGATTGGATGTTTGTATGATTGGTTCGTTCGTACGATTGGTTCGTTCGTATGATCGGTCGTTCGAACGATTGGTTCGTCCGTTTGCTGCTTTTTAGTCCATTTATTTTTCATTATTTCACAGCATTGTGAAAATTATTTTTTTTTTATTGGGGAAAAATAGAAAACAAAATTATCGACACAGAACATGTCAAAAAAACTAACCTCATCTGCAAAGAAAATGGCTTGTAAGCATATTTTCCGAATCTCTTTTCGATGTCTTTTCTTCGATATTTCTTCAAAATAGGATGGGAAAGATGGTGAGATGAACAGTTTGAGAAATTTTTGTTTTGTATTTTGGCGGTGACATTTTTTGATTGCCTCTGCTCGAACTGTTTTTGTTGTTGCTGTTGTTGCAGATGTTGTTGTTGTTGCTGTTGTTGTTGTTGGTTACTTTTTGGTTGTTGTGAAATTTGTGAAGGTTGTTGTATCGTGTGTGTGTTGCTACAATGATCATCTCTTGATGTAGGCTGTTGTTGGTTTATATTATATTGTTGTTCTACATTAGATGGTTGCCGTTGTTGATGTGATAAACTTTGGTTTAGCTGTTTTTTTTGCTGTGATTGGTGTAAATAAAGATGTTGTTTTTGTTGCTGTGATTGTTGTTGTTTTTTTTGTTGTTGTTGTTGTAATTGGTCGCGATGATATTTCATGACCGAATTGGCGTTTACGTAAATTGTCGTACCACTTCCAGAAACATTCTTAATTCCGCTAACAAAACTATCGCTGTATTCGCGGCCACCATCACTACAGCAGCTACTACTACTACCACAAACCACATTTTTTTTACTACTATCACCGTCTTCAGTTCTGTTTTTAATGTTAGATTTGCGCTTTTTAGTGCTTTCTAGGCAAGCTTCGATGCATGCGCAATTGTTTCGACCGTCATTAATTGGATCAGTTTCGTTGGCGTAGCTACTGCTATCGCTGCTAATTTTGTCGTTAGCGTTGTTGTTGTTGCTTTTGCTGTTGTTGTCGTC